CTTTTTGTAAATAAAAAATATAGTTAAAATAATATAGATATACTTATTAAACTAATTAAAATAATCTTTTAATAATTATCATCAATGTTCAGTATGAGGCACTGAACCACCATTATGAAGAGAGCTTCCTAAACCCTCACAGTTAGATGCCCTATTTTGCTTATTCTACTCTGTCAATTGGTCAACTCAAGGCTCACCCAAGCTCTGCTCAAATTAATCAGCTCATACTACCTTGCCAATCCATAATAAATGCTGCCCAAACTTTCTAATAACCATGAACACGTCTCTGAGACGATTCGATCCTCTCCTCTTAAAATTTATTCTTATCCTCGTACCATGCTCAGGCAACCACCTTAAAATTGTTTTATAAAACATAAGCATAATAAATAATATTAATATAAATGAAATAAAAAATTTTTAGTGATGTCAAATAAATATATTTAAAATTTTCTGAACCACATATCCCTAACTTCATTTTGGATCTTTTTCCATAATAAGTAAGGAGCACAATATTTGCTTTGTATGATGTCATGAATCTTTTGGGTAGGCTGCCTTAAGGGATTGAAGTTACAGATAAAACTTTTATCAATAATTTACAATAAATCAATTTTTGTTGTGGTGAGATCCAACTTGGATACTAATTTTTTTATTTGATATAAATTTATAAGGATTAAATTGTCTGTTGAATTTATTTCCATGAGAAGATTAATGAAGTCATTGAAATATTCACGAGGAATATTGTATTTAATTTTGATACTCAGCATCCTAATATTAACTGATAATGTTGAATGCATTATGTAACCATCTCAAATTAGTTTTTGAGCAGCATGTAGTAATTTAAAGAATTTTTTTATTTCTGTATTTAGTGGCTCTTCCATGTTGGCCCTTAAATTAGGACATACTCCATCAAAAATAAGTTCTTCATATGGTCTACTTATTTGATCTTCATCAACTATTTCAAATGTTGTGGTTGGACTTGCATGAGTATCTCTATGTGGCTCATACTCACCATATATGGTCCAAATCCAGTATAAATCCCTTATGATATAAATCAACATTTACATCACCGGGCTTTAGAAATGCTTGATTTTTGTGCTTAAGGCATGGACATCTAAATATTCCATCAAACTTAAATTATGGTAGTTGAGATGTAATATGAACAAAAAACTTAGTATTATGCTTCTCTTTTAATGGCCAACATTCGACACCATAAAACATTTTAGGTCTCATCACCATCTTATATAATTTTACCTTAAGTTTGAAGTGGACTTTTCAATCACACAACAAGCTCGATGCATTCCTCCACTTCAACCATCCAAGTTGAATTATGTTGATAATATCCCCATCTATTTCACCTTCACTCTGAACAATATATTATGTATATATATATAACATTTACTCTTATTAATGACTTGATTGTTTAAAGTCACAAAACCCTTACTAGGTGTATTATTTCTAAAATTACACTCCATATATTTAGTTTTAGATGTACTCAAGCAAAATCTTTATACTCTAAGGTTAACCTCCATAATTCAAGTTTTCCTTAAACTCCCTCTCTAGTCTTATCAACAAGAAGAATCTCATCAGTAAAAAGTATAAACTAAGGTACATCCTCTTGCAAATGTCTATTGAGAACATCCATGACAAAAACAAAATGATATGGGCTTAAGGCTTTCTCAAAATCAACCTTTAGATTCAAATGTTGACCTCTATAAGTCAAGTTTACCTTCAACTCCCTCTCTAGTCTTATCAACAAGAAAAATATCAACAACAAAAAGTATAAATTAACCAAGGTACATCCTCTTACAAATGTCTACTGAGAACATCCATCACTAAAGCAAAAATTAAGGAGATGCATGGAGATTACCTTCGGCTAGGGCACTCAAATGCGAGTGAGGGCGAGGGCACAAGGGGAATTTAGTGAGCCAGAGCTCTGTTGACAAATCAAATTATCATCGTTCAGTGAGGGCGCGAGCGTCTGGATGAAAGAAAATGAGCCACCCAAAGAAATGAGGAAGAAGGGAGGGTGTTCAATTTTGGGGCCCTTTCCGACGGTTTTAATCTACGAAAGTTTTTTTACTGAAAAATGACGACTAAACAGCTGGTAAAAGCCACCATGAAAAGAAAATACCAGCGGTATTTCCGGCTGTCAGTTGACAGCCAGAAGTTCTGGTGGTTTATTATTTAAAACCAACAATTGAACCGCCGGTTAATTGTTGCAATCAAACCGCCGGTATTCAACAAATTTCCGTAGTGGGAATCAGTCTCATAATTCATTAATATCATCTATAAATATCATTAATCTTGTGGTTAATTAAAAAAAAAACTAGTCTTATCAACTATGTAGGTAACCCCGTAGGAATCAGTATCATCAATCATGTGGTCAAACCAACAGAAATCAATCTCATCATTCGACAATGTCACCATTCATGTGTTTAAACCACAAGGATTCAGTCTCATCAGTCATGTAATTAACCCTTCTTGCTTTCCCACACACACGCACAGATATATATATGCATGTCATGAATTCGCGCATATAGTAACTCTTTCACATTTTATACATGTTTTTATTTTATTTATTTCATTTAAATGGAATAAGTGTAAAACTATGCAATATATTTTTTTATGTTCATTTCAAAAAGGTTTGACTGATGATATATATTAAATATCAAAAGTTATGCGATAGAAATGGACTATATCCAAAGATGATGCATTTTAATCAAATTTAGGAGATAGAAAATAGTTAAAACTCAAAATCATTGAAAATAGAGGTACCATGATTAAAATAGTCTTTATAAGTAGAGCAATGGAAGGAAATGGCTCTAAAGCAGTTTTCTCTCTCCTCTCCCTCTCTCCTCCCCTCCTCTCCTCCTGCCCAGCTATGTAAGCAAATGGGAAAGGGATGGTTTAAGTTTTACTTAAATCGGTGAGTGGAATGATTTTTTTTTCTTACGCGATGCCTCAACACTTCTTTTAAACACTTTAAACCTAAGTGATTGGTATCGCAACACCCAAACTAGGACTTTCCAAAGGGAGAGGCAAGCACTGCCATGGTCGTAAGCATAGCATTGTGGCGCTCTCATATAGATTTACATGCATGCAAGAATTTTTCTTATAGATCGAATAGGTCATTAATAAGTCTTTAATCTTGCAAAAATTTGGGACATCACATGAACTATCCTTCATAGGTGGAATTCAGGAAAACTCACACCTCTCATTTTCCCCTTAGTAGCCCTAAATTTCTCTCTTAAAAGAGGATAAACACTATCCTAGACAAGCATATATGCATAGTATAATTTTGGCCTGTAAGCTTTATCAAGAATATTATACTACTCTTAATAAGCAAAGCTGTGAAAAAGACCCAAAATTTATAATCACTCATAGTTCTCAATTCTTTTTCTTTAAAGGGTGTTTATTGTCTCTATTTAGATAAATTGACTTGTGATGGAACTTTAATTTTTCTCTAAAATTAGCTAACTTTCTCTATTTGGATTGTTAAATCTGATGTGAGAAAATTTTTGCCCTTTTTTTTGCCATAATTCTCTCCTCAAGAGGAGATAATTCTTTTTAAATTTTGGTAAAGCCCATTCAAGATATGATGATTAATGCAACATTGTGTCTCTAAGAATTTTTTTAGTCCCCCATGAAAGACCAGAATGTTTATTATTTTTTTAGAGAAATTTTTTTTTAGCTTGTTTTACACTTTTTCTAAAGAATTTGATCCTTTTTTTGTTGGATGATCATTTGCATATTAATATTTCTCCTTCTTTTTTTTTTGGAAAAAATTAAGCAATTCAAAATTTTGGGAGAATTTTAACTTCTAAATTTCATTATACTCGAATTATTATATTTATATCTTTGGTGAATTCTTTGATAACGATAATTGTCAAAACAAATCTAATTTTTTTTATGAATATAAACGAAATCTTTGTTCTCCCATGAACTTTATGTAGCCATTCATTTTATAGATGAAAATTTTCAAAATTTATTATGTTTTGTATTCACGTCAAAAGTTTAAAACTTTTGTTGTTGCTCCCACTGAAATGTAGATTCTTCACAAAAAAATAGTTGGAAATTTTCCGAAGTAATTGATTCAGAAATTTTCTTAATTGAGTGTTTTTCAATGATTAGTGGACTGTATATCTGTCACGGAAATTTAATGAAGCCATCCATTGAGCTCTTAAGAAGTCATCATTTCTTAAGTAGTCGCCAAAGACGACTTCATAAATAGTTGTTGTTAGGATCGACTGATAAGTCATACTTCGCTACTATGATGATCGAGTTGTTTAATCATGATCACTATAGTTTGAGGCAAGATCCTTTGTTGATTCACAAGTCTATTTACAGTTGAGACCGAGTAAACTAAGTTAAATTGTCTTGAACCAGCTTAATTTAGCTTGAAACTGACTAAATATTCGAATGTGCACCGAGAATAACATTCAACTTAGTTCAACTACACAAATTCAAATCAAATTGCTTCATGAGCAAAAAAGAAAACAAAAACTACTCAAAAAATCTATCTCAAGTTATTAAAGAAATTATTTTGTGCGGAGTACGAACAAAAAGAACCATCCTATCATGTAAGTGTACACATTGTGTATAAATTTGTGCACAGTATATATTATTTTTTTTACATATTATTTATACATAATATTTAGATTCTTCTCGTCCAAACTCCATATTGAATAATTTCTCAAGTTATGCATAATTAGCCACCTATATTGTCACCCCTTCTTAAAACATCCCATGGAATCTGCAATGGCCATTAATAATACCCATTCCATGCATCCAACCGAACCATAAACGGGAAACATGGGAAAGGCGCTAACTAAAATAAAGCATTGAAATCCTCAAAACAGTAAAATAATTTCTTCACAAACTTTTGTTTTTGCGAGTCTTTGCGCTTCTCTGCTACTTTTTAGTTTTTACCTTAACATTATTTCTCAAATAAAGCATTTGCGGCCATTAAATCCCTCACTAAAACACCAACCTACCAAAAACCCATGACAATGAACCCTCTCCCACCTTTCCCCCCGCCATCACTACTCATAATTTTCTATGACTCTTATTATTACTCTTCTTCACTTGGCCTATTTAAACTTGCAAGACAGAAGCTTTCTTGCTAGCTCCTTCCACCTCCATTAATGGCGCCTCACTTCCTTCACCTCGTCTCTCCCTTCTTCTACCTCTCTGCAATTTGCTTGGCTTCTTCAGCTCGGAGTCGCATTCCGGCCGTTATAGTTTTCGGCGACTCCACAGTTGATACCGGGAACAATAACGGCATCAAGACGACGCTGAAGAGCGATTTTCTCCCTTATGGCCGTGATTTCATCACCGGAAAGCCGACGGGGCGGTTCTGCAATGGCCGGCTCGCGACGGACTTTATTGCTGAAGGGCTCGGCCTTGGGCCGGAAGTGCCGGCTTTTCTCGACCCGACCCGAACCATAAAGGACTTTGCAACTGCCGTTTGCTTCGCTTCTGCTGGAACGGGTCTCGATAACGCCACCTCCGAAGTCCTGGTACGCCTTCTGAACCACCTTTCTTTTACATTAAGATTCGTGCCGATAATTCTATTCGTTTTAGCCGACAGATTGATTGGTATTAATTGATCCTGATTTTTTTATCTGTATTATTATAAATATATGCAAAATTATAAATCTCAGCTCATATGAGCTATTTCATAGTCATTTATTATTTTTTATGACTTTTAATATTCAATTATTAAAATTTATGAGGTAAGGCTGCGTTATTTTGTTGTTAACTGGTCAACTATTAAGATTTATTTTCACTTAGACTACTCAGCTTAATTAAGACTTTTAATGGAAGTCTATAAAGTCTAATTAAAAAATATAATGAAATTAAAATAAAATAAAAAATAATTAGGGGAAGTCTATAATTGAAGATTATGGACGTCGTAATCAATAAAATTCGAAATTTATATTAATTTGATTAAATAGCAAGAATTTAATGTTAGAATTTAAAATTTTTAGTTCAGAATATTAAAACATAAAACTATTACAAAATATTCAAATATAATAAGTAAAAAAAAAAGATTATAAGGTTAAAAGTGCAAAGGAAAAGACAATGGATGCCAAAGCAAATCAAATAACGAAATTTTGGTGGGGTGCATGGCAAAAAATCATCATAATATTCGATGCGTGTCTCTTTTGTGATATATTATTTTAATTAGTTGGTAGAATCTAATTATTAGTCTATGGCTTAAGTTAGAAAAAAATACCATGATGGATATTAAATAGATATTCATATTTAATGTGTGCACGACATGATTTTTAATTTTTAAATTTAATATTAGTATTGACATGTTAACATGAGATTCATAAAAGAGTATTTTTTCGAATAACACAAATATAATAAATTAATATTATTTAAAGCTTTTATATTTTATTATTATTATTATTATATGTTCAATAATTTTAACATAACTTCAATGATATTTAAGTCCATCTTGTCAATGATTTATGTAGGATCTTTCTTAATAAATTTTAATAATAATTTTAAAGTCATATTATTAAGATTTTATTTGAAATAATTTCATACTATTTTTTAAAATTTTTTGTATAAAAAATAGATTTTAAAAATTAGAAGAAGTTAGTTCCAGAAGAAACCTAAATTTTATAGTATAAAGCTAATATAAGCTTTTAAAATTCGAAAGCATTAAGAGAAAGGAAACATTTCCGTTCAAAAAAACACAATCACTCATTTTTATCTCCAAAGGCAATTTTATGGCCTGCCGTTATATATTTGATCGATGACTGATAACAAATTATGGGTTCCCATTAGCTGCATAACTATTGTTTAATTAAAACAAGACAAGCAATAACCTAAATTTAATTAATAAAAAAATAATTAAATAATCAAGTATTTAATTTTTAAATAAAATATGCTCAAAAAAGTAAATAATTTTCAAAATTAAAAAGTATCAAAAATACTATAACAAAATAATTATTTGCGACGAGACATAAAAAATTGAAATTATTTTAATTAAAATAATTTTAAAACCATAATATTTATGTAAATTAAATACTCTAATCTAATTTTTCTCGATATATTTATATTTTTATTAAAAAATTGTTGAAGGCTAAAAACTAGATTAGCTGTCAAATCATTAAATATTGTTAGATAAGGGCCCATATTTCATTACGAATGTACAGTTATTGAGCATGGAGGGGCAAACAAATATATTCGGGGTACTGAGTATTTTAGATATGATTTTATTGTCGATAATTAATATTTATATTAAATCACATCAATTATGTACTACTCCTTACATTCAACATATAAGACATTTAATCTTAGGTGATTTTATATATACATTTTTTATTCATATATTTAATAATCTAAAATTAAATATTTATATGATAAAACACCTTAAGTATGTTAGGTTGCCCTAATGAGCTAGATTGCAATTTCGTGCATCGACGCCATGGATGCCTTGCCCTAGCACGACTTTCTACGTAAGTGTCGTCGATGTCTTGCACAAGCAAGCTCCATCACGACTTCTTTTTCGCTGCACTAGTATCGTTGATGTCTTTCTCTAGGGAGCTTCATCTAATGGCATGCGACGAGAGCAACGAGACTGGGTACAAGCAAAGGTGGCGACGACAACAGCATCGGCAACGTTCAAACATACGCAATACAAGAGGATACGAATTTGGATGGCGTTTAGGGATAATTTAAGTACTATTTTTATTAAATTTTAAGTGTTTAACGAGTAGAATAATGAAATTTAGATGTTAAATATATAAATTAGAAACCTTTGAATTCTAATGCTATGTATGTGAGAAATTTATAAAATCAATCAAAAATATTTGAAATAAAACTATTTTTTATTTATATAAATTGTTGCAACATATCACTCTATGACTTTGACTTCGTTTGAGATGACATTCTTACTGCTTCTTAAAACAACTTTTTAGTAAAAAAATTAAAATGTTTGTACTAAAAAGTTATTTTCAGTAGCAGTAAGAAACCAGCCCAAATGAAGTCTTTGTTTGGATCAGTTTTCTTATTCATTTCTAAAACAACTTTTTTATTAAAAAAATTCTAAAATTAGAAATTTTTGTAATAATTAAAAAATTACTCTATAAAATAATAAGAAAATTATTCCAAATAAAATCTTATTAATATTATCACTTCCTTGCATTCATATTGCATGCATAGTAAATATAATTAATAAGCTCTCAAACTCATACTGATATGGTACTAACAAATTATATGGCTACTTAAGTTCATGCAGTTGGAAAAAAGAACCACCGACTTCAGTAATCAATATAATATAGGGGCCCAATAATTATGGCTTGCATTTGTTGGTTTAAAAGGGGACCATCTTCTAACTCAAATTTGCCAACTAAATTTAATAAATGCGTTGACTTAGCAATATTTTCTATGTAGTTATAAAAATATTCATAATCTCATTGTTTTAAAAAAAATAAAATAATTAAAATTTCATTTCTTCTAAATAATTATTTTGAAGTTGTTCAATATATTTATTTATTTAGATACTTACTATTATAATCACACTTTTTTACTCGCATCTTTTTATAATTTCTAAATCTTATCGGCACTATTTATAGATTTATTTGGGATAATTTTTTAATAGCTCTTTCTGGGCGATTTAATACGTCAAGACACCCAATTCAGATGTGCCACGTCACTCGAATATACTGGGTCCCGATGTATTTTGACGATGTGTTGCGTCTAGATTGGTGTTCGGACGAATCCGAACACCGGACGTAATAATTTGCCGTCTTTGAGATGGCAACCCAACACTTCTCCTTTGAATCTGAATAGATTTAAAAAGGACATTAATTTAACACAAATATAATTATAATGAAATAATCATTATGATTTTCAATTGAATTAATGTAGCACCTCAAAAGTAGGTAAAATACAACCGCTGGCTTTGATAGACAACTTCGATTCACAATGAATCCGGTGGGGTCATAAATATTCCGCCCGGAACACGTAGGGGTTGTACTTTTCTCTGAATTTCAACCTTTATCAGCGGCGATTTTAATTTTTTTAAAAAATGAAGATAATTAAAATAAATAATTTTCGTAAGTATTTTGAAGATAAAATAATTAAATTTAAGGGCATTTACATACATATAAAATATTTATATTGCATGATTACCATCCATTAAACAAATTTTGGTGCATAGAATGAAATATAGAAATGAATTATATGAGTGATATATTTGATATTAAAGCTGTATTTAACTGATAGACATGTAATATTAATATTTTAGGGATTAGATATGTAAATAGAATGAAATAAAGTGATATTAGGAGATTTATAAGAAATATAAATATTTTATGAAAAAAATATTTATTTTTTAAGTAAATAAATAGTTAATATGATATATACTACATACGCATGATGACATAAATTCATTCGCATTCATTATATTTGATTATTTTATGAGAGCATGTAGAGGCATTTGAGCAGAACAGACAGGAAGAAGGGAAGTAACAGAACTTTCCTATTCAGTTTTTAGCTTTCTTTCAAGTAGAATAAATAGGCTGCCAGAGAAATTTATTTAAGTGGGTAGAAAAAATTAAATACATGATGGCACTTCAGCTATTTTAATCTTTAGGTCTCTAACACTTGGAAATGGTTAATTGGATTCAAATTTATCTGTAAGAAACACTTAACGACTCTGCTAGCAGGAACAATAAGTATTAAGAATAAGTGAGAAGCTCTAAGTATGAGGTCATTGTAAGGGGTGAAAATGGTCTGAAGTTTAAGATATGTCTCTTAAGCCCTTTTTTATAAGATTGAGATGGTTGGAGGGAAGACTATACTTTAAAAAAATCAAAGTTGTGAAAATCGGACCGGACAATGAACTGAAAGAATGAGAGGTTCACGATTCGACCGGTCGAACCAGGGTCGAACCGGATGATGTAATAATTAAAAATATTATAAAAAATTAATAAAATTAAAATAATGATGATGCCAATTTAATCTTAAAAATTTCATAATTTTAAGAATTTTGAGATTAAAAATAAATAAAAGTCATACATATACAGTATATTACATAATTTTAAAATTAAATATAAATAATTATTATATTTATGTTATATATTTAAATTTAAATAATTACTAATTTTAAATTTTAAATTTAAATATCTCTAATCTTTGATTTTAATTTATATTTAATAAAAAATTAGTTTATATATAAATTTAATATAAATAATTACTTTATGTTATATATTTAAGCATAATTTACATATATAAATTATATATAAATATTACATTATAAAATTATATTTATAAAGTCTTATAAAGTCATACAATATTAATTTTAAGACTTTTTATTT